GGGAGCTGGAAGCAGCAGCAGGTGGGCAGGGAAGGGCCAGGACCCCTCCCTAGCATCCCCACATGGGGGGGGACCTACACCTAGTGCAGCGCAGTGGCAGCACAACGCATTGCCCCCGCTGCCACCGCGCCCCTCTGCTCAGTGTCTGCGAGCAGAGCTGTAACCCAAGCCGCGAAAACAGCACAAGGAGGAAAGAAAAGGGTATTGAGCGGCGGGGCTGCTGCGGTCGCCGGCCAACATAGACTGTTGGTTGTTAAGCGGGTGCCTCGCTTGCAAAGGCTGCCTTGATGAAGTGTGAGACAGCACTTACGGAGGGACACGGGCAGGCCTTCTCGCTCCATCTTCCGCTCACAGTGCCGCTCTTTATGTGCCTGACATTTGCTTGCTGGAAAGGCCCCGAAAATCAGGGGGAAAGGAAAACACTGCCTGCAGCAGGGCCAGAGTGGCACTGGGAAGAGTGCCATGCCGTGCTGTGCCGTGCAGTGCCATGCTGGGCTGGGTCGGGTTGTGATGCTCCATCCTGGCCTCACCACCAGCTCTTCCCCGAGTGACCCCTTCACCTCTCGGCAGCCCTCGGGATGCCTTCCCTTGCCGGCACTGCCGCTTCCTGCCAGGTGTGCTCAGCCTGGCTCCCTGCCTGGGAAGCCCGGGGCATCCTGCTCCCCGGGCGGGCTGGCAGCACTGCCAGCTCTCCTTGCTGCTGCAGCCTGTCCCCAGGGCCATGTGCGGTAGGGGGTGATGGGGACACTGTGAGATCAAGGCAGGTCCCTCAAACACCCACAGCAGGGACTGCTGCAGCACTGTACAAGCAGATCCAAGGGCCAGGGGAGCTGGGAAAGGGTATCAGTGGTCAGTGTGGGGCAGCTCTGCCCCTAAGAGAGATGGTCACTGCCCCACCAGGGAGCTGGGGTGGGAAGCCAGGCTGACGGCATCCAGCTCCATCCCAGGGGAATGAGCTGTCCCTTTTCCTGACCTCAGTCCACGCTGGAAAAGAGCAGTTCAACCCCTTCCATCTCTATCCTTCTGCAGGTGAATCCTGGGGGATCCCTTGGTCTGGAGGTGTTGGCAAAGGCTGGGTGAGTGGCTAGCATAGATCAGTGCTCATGTATGCAGATCCTGGGCTTGTTCCCTCCCCAGCCTGACCGACATGGCAAGGCCATAGGCAGAGATGCCCAGCAACCACCCAGCAATCCACGCCAGCCCCATTCCCATGAGCATGGACAAAGCAGTGAAGAGCACTGAGGACAGCCTGGCCACAAGGCACAGGAACGCCCCAGCCATGAAGCCCTTCCCCAGCTGCAGCATTGCCAGGCTTCGCCCATGCCAGCGCGGCAGCGGCCGTGCCCATCTGTGGAGCGCTGATGTGCCATTCCTGGGCCACAACTCCATCACACTGCTTCTGCAGAGCCCACTGGCAGGGGGAGCCCAGGGAAGCCATGCCCGCCCCCAGCCCACACCCCTTGGCTCCCAGCCCCAGCCGGAATTATTAAGAGTGCCCCAGTGGAGCATGTGCTGAGGCCGGCCACGGGAATGTGGGCAGATCTGGCATACAAGCCACAGCAGCCAGGCTGTAATTTCCAAACAGGCCCCGTTTGCTCCGTTTTCCAGTTAAAAATATATTAAAAAACAGCAATGTGGGGTTTGTAGCGCAGAAAGTTGGTAACCGCTTCGAGCGTCTGGTGTGATAATGAAAGGGTCAGTCCCCAGCTTTGAGCATGACCGATTTAGACTCTGGTGCTTAGCCTGCAAACCCCGCCCAGGGCAAGGTGATGCTTGTGCAGCAGTGGCATGCTGCCGGGCTGGGTGACGTGCCCCTCCTGCTCACACTGTCAAGAGGACGTCCAAATTGCCATCACTTGTGGCCTTTTGAGAAGGGGATCTGGGCAGGGACAGGGAAAGGCAGGATGCCTGGGTGATGGATGCTGTATGCTGCCCACCACTAGCCCTGCCAGCCCCCTTCCCACTGGGATACAGCACATAGCAGAGCTCTCCAGGATGGGGGGCAGTGAGTGAGGGTGCAGCCCAGCTCCCTGTGACTGCTCCCACCACTACAGGGCTGATGGTGAGCGTGGCTTGCTCCCAGTGCGAGATCAGACAGACACTTGCCCCCCCTTCACCAGGCACCCCCCCCGGCTGAGCTAATCGCAGTTCAGGGTGTGCTACAGAACCTCCCGCACCGCTGTCGCAGCCTTGAGTCACTCCTGATACAGTGGCATCCTGCTTGGCCTTGTGGCCAGGTAGTCATAACACATGGGCAAGCTGTGCCAGCTCCCCGGGCATCACTCCTGTGTGTCAGCTTTCTGCTTGGGCTGCTCCACAGACCTCGGGCATCGTGTTTATCCTGGAGATGGGTAATCAGAGGAAAACAAGGGACTGGAGGCCAGGGCTGACGTTGCAGTGGGACAAGAAGAACAGGGTTCAGTGCAGGGATGTGCTGGGGTAGTAGGGCAAGGTAGAAGAGCAAAGTGACAGGTACGTGGGGCTTCTCCCCCACTCAGCCCCTTATGGGGACACTTCCTTGTGCCTTTCAGCCTCCGGGGCCATCAGGTGGCCGGTGGCTGGCACAGCACGCTGCGCTCCCTTGCTGAGTCACGGCTCTGCAGGGAAATGCTTCCAGCTTTGGCTATAACCCCATTTCCCACTGGGGCTGTGCAGCGCAGCCCTCCCATCCCGGCGTGGATCAGCTCCGGCAGCCCTGAGCCTGCCGGGAAGGGCAGTGCCAGGAGGTGGCCAATGACTCCCAAATTCCACCCTGGGCTTGTGAGAGCTGGACTCTTCCCAGAGGCATGGGCACCTGGTGCCCTGCACCTGCAAAGCCCTGTGCCACCAAGGATGCCCATTCCTCTCCCATTGCCTCCCCAGGGTGCCTGTGCATGTGCCAGTCTCAGGGACACTGGGCTGTTGCAAGCACAGCAGGCACTCCACAGCATTGCCCCATCCCAGGGACACCATGGGGACACTGTGCTGGCTCTGGGCAGCTGCTGCTGAGCAGTGAGACAGCAGCTGCCCTGCTTGGATCCTTGCTTGGATGCTGGGAAGAGGAGCAACCTCAACAGCCATGGGGCCAGGGCATGTCCCAGGTGCCATCCTGCACTGCAGCCCACCTCCTGGCTGGGGTATGCAGCACCCTACGCCTGGGTACACAGCCTACCCAATCTCCCTGGCACTCCCCAGGGCCCCCTTGGTGGCAGGGAGAATGGGTGGGCAGAAGGGTAGCGGCACCCAGGGCTCGGTGGTTCCACAGGGGACTTTCCTGCCCTCCTGGGGCATTGACCCATGCAGTGCTATCATCTAGTACACTTTGCTCACTCCACCACCATTCCTGGCTTTCCTGGGAGCTGCTGTTTGCTTTTCTGTGAGTTATGGCTCCAGCTTCTGCCTTTGATCTGGGCTGTGTTGGCCACCCGTTGCCAGCCCCTTGCCTGCCTTTGAAGTGCAGTCGCCTTCCCAGCCTCAGATGCTGCTTTTGCAACTTTCAGGTGCAACCTATGGGGCGAGACACCCAAGGCCAGAGCGTCCCCGGGGCGTCCCAAGTCCTCAGCATCCCTCCTTCTCCCTGGCACCTTGTGGGGGGCCAGGCAAGGAGGCATTGCAAGGGGTGTGTTTGCCCAGAAGCCTGCAATCCTGGGGATGCTGGCAGCGGCCGGGGCCCAGAGCATCACTCCCTCCTGTGGCAGAGGGCAGGGACACAGGAGGTCCTGCACAGAAGCTGGCCAAAAAGCAGACACTGAAGCATGTCCTACATGCCCACAGGTCCAGCAGGAGGGGTGGGACCCAGCAGAAGGCACCTTTCTGGACACCATCCACCCCACCCTGCCATCAGCCCATCCTGGCTGGCAGGTAGCAGCGAGGGGGCCCAGCCTGCCCTTTCTGACACAGGAAACCTGGAGCCAGGCTTGGACTCTGGCCTTGAGTGGGTCTCAGCGTCCATGTCCCCTCCCCACTCCCCCGACCCAGAGAGGATCCAGCCTTATCTGGTACACTTTGTTCCCCTGCTGTCTGGGTGTGGAGCGGAGCAGAGATCAGTGTGCAGACCTTTGACGTGCACACACACACACACACAACCACACAACCAGCCACACATGCACCCACAGCCATGCTCCTCTACACATGGCTGTGCTTGCAGTCCCCCTGCATGCACACACCCGCATGTGTGCACACATGCCCTGCTCCTCGCGCCCTGGTGCAGCCACCCCCTCCGGGGCACACACACATTTCCCTGTCCCTGCACGTGTTTGAAGCTATGTGCTGCATTATGTTCCCAGTGGAGGGTGGCGCTTGCCCGACCTCCCAGCTTCCCCATCACGCACACCAAGGTCCCCCATGCACATTGGCATGGCCCACACTGTGAGGCTGGCATCCTGCAGCCCTGGCAGAAGGAAGGGGGCTTCCCTGCATCAAGTCTAGATAGAGCAAAAAAGTGTGCAGGGAGGCAGGAGCTACCCTGATAGGCTGAGACCTGAGCATCCTTCATCTCGCTATCACATCACCCTCACTCGCCATGGAGCCACCAGGGATGCTTGTGCTGCCTGCATAGACATCTCTGGAGGCAGCCATGAGAGGCAGGGGCTCCCTGTCTGCACCTCATGCCGAGGTCCTTCCCCTGCCCAGGGCTCATTGGCCTTACTGGTGAGCTGGAGCCCCTGTGCTACCCAGCCAGGGAAGCTACAGGCCTTCCCTTGCAGTCTATCTCTGGTGCTTGATGAATGACTCGCAAGCCTCAGCTGTCCGCCTCGGGATGGGAAGGCAGCCCAATGGCTGGAGCAGGAGTGTGCCTGTGTGCACATTAATGTGTTCGTGTGTGCATGGCTGGGGAGCAGCCACAGCCTGACCAGTGCCAGAGCTGGCCCTGCAAGCTGTGCTGTGGTCCTTGGGGTGAAGCAGATGGAGCCCACTGGGCAGAGGGATGCATGGCCCCTTCTCTGCCCCATCATGGGAGGGTGTCCTGCAGGAAGTTGCTTATGGCAGGCTGATGGTGCCTCTGCTCTCCCCCCCTACAGAGCCTGCCCCAGATCTGCGGTGCTGGAGAAGGGCAGGCGTTTGCCTCCACTCTGCAGCAGCTCTACAGGACAGTGACAGAGCAGGAGGCCAGGCAGGCTCAGAAACGGCAGCACTCAGGTGAGGAGCTCCTTGGCTGTGGGATGGGGAGTGCGTGAAGCACTGGCTCCCACCATGGCTGCGCCCCCATCCCCTGGGAAGGGGAGTGGGTTCCTGAGTGCAGCTCACCCCACTTTGCTTTCCCCCATGGGCTGAGCTCCACACACAGGCACTGTTCCTGGTGGGGGTTTTGGCTCCATGCTCCCTTACCTCAATCCCAAATTGCATCTCTGCTGGTACCAGAGGATGCTGAGGACCCGGCACCTCCTGCAGAAACCACAGGGCATCCCCATCCACCACCTCCACCCCAGGAAGATGAAACAGCATCTTCCAGTGAGGGAATCACAGTGAGTACAGCTCTAGAAATACCCTCTTCATTCCAATGGCAGGATGAGGCCTGCATCTCCCTTCCCCCCTCACACCCCAGCCCCATGCTTTTCCAGCATGAGCCAGGGCATCTCTGCTTGGTTCCTAGCATGTTGCATCCCATGCACCCTGGCTGGGGACCTTGTGTTTGCACACGTGTGTGATTTGCACTTCCCCACATTGATAACAGGAGCATCACGGCTTGCACACACACCCCCATCCTGTGTGACCCCCAGGGGGAGAGACTGACAGTGCCTCCCCTTTGCTTCCAGCCAACCTCCTCCCCAGCTCAGAAGCCCCGGTTGCCTGCAGCCAAGACCAAGCCAAAGAAGGCGAAAGGGCTCTTCAGCTGAAGCATCACTGCCACCCAGCCTGAGGGTCTCCGCTCCCCCCAGCATCCAAGAGAGGCAGTGCAGAGCACCCATGGGTGCTTTGCGTCTCCTGCACCACCTGGCAGGCCCTGCCCAGCTCACTGTTCCCTCCCGAGGTGTCTCCAGCCAGGGAGATGGGGCATCGTCTTTCTTCAGCCATGTCTCAGGAACCTCTGTTCTACCTCTCTCCTGGTGCAGAGCTTGCTCAGGCTGCCTCATGGTGGAGCCAGTGCTGGAGCAGGGGGGAGAGGGAGGCATGCTGCTGGGTGGTGTGGGACAGCCATGCCCTGGCAGGGCTCTGGGAGTTTGCAATAAAGGGCTGTGTCTGGGTAATTCCCTCTCCTGCTCTGTCCCTCCTAGGCCTGAAGTGTCCAGGCAGGGGTATAGCCCCTGGTGCTGCTGGTTCCCCCTCAAGCCATTCCTTGCTGTCCGAGGGCTTGCAGCAGGACAGTGAGGAGATGACAATGGCTCATTGCTGTGGGGCAGGACAGCAGCTCCCAGCCCCTGCTGTGCCTCACCCTAAGCACCAGTATGTGGGGTGTGCATGAAGGGACTCCCAGATCCTGGGACACAGCATCCTTGTCCCACACCAAGGACACACCGTGTGCTGGTGTCTGGAACCAGGTGAAGCTCCTGCAGCAGCAGGTTGGCAAAGGCAGCCTGGCTGGGCTGAGGGGCACCCTTCATTTGCAGTAGCTCTCTCAGGGTTAGTGGGCAGGTGGTATAGGGGGTTCTGGCCTTCAAGGGGCTGGGGACAACCGAGCCACTAACACAATGAAAGCTCCCAGGCCTGAGAGCAGCCCTGGAACACATACAGATGCTCCCTGGACATAAAGCACCACCTCTGCCCCTCCACACCCAATCCATCCATCCATCCATCCATCCATCCATCCATCCATCCATCCATCCATTAACCTCTGCTCTCCTGTTCCAGCCATTATGTCCTCAGTGCTTCCTTTGGGGCTGGGGCCACTTTCCTGTGCCAGGCAGCACTGCCATGGGCAGGCTGCAGCCTGCGGTGCCACTGTCCTAGGGCAGGACCCATGCCTCTGGATGCCCTGCTCCCTGGGGCTGGGCCAGCAGAGTCCCGATGCCTGCTCTTCCTGGCAGCAAGGGGGAAACTAAAACATCCGGAGCAGCCCCTGTGTCTGTAGAAGGGGAATGAAGGGGTCTTTGCAGGGCCATGGCCAGCCAGTCCCAGGGCGAGAGCAGCCAGCTGCTTTTTGTATTTCCTCTCTGAGGGAGCAGCATGCGGAGCAAGGTGGGTGGTGAGATGGGGATGCCATGGGATGGTAGCTTGTGATGACAGCTGTAGCTATGAATCTGCTTTCTCCCACCTGCCAGCATCTTCTCCTCTCAGATCTGGGCTTGCCTGCCAGGCACTTGCCCCCAGAGAGGGTGCTGTCAACCAGCTCAGGGGGTAGGACAGGGGTAGCAGTGGTTCTGCAGCTCTCCATTTCATATGTCTTCTGTCACCAGGTTTTCCCCTGGTGCAACCCCTGGTCCGTCCATGTGAGCTCCATCTCCTGGTATGGGAGCTGCTCTGTTCCAAGCCGGGTCCCTCAGCTCCCTGCTGGGTCTTGGACTCATGCTGCTCCCCTGTGCATGCAGGTACATGCAGGAGGAGGATTTATTGCCCCAGCAAGGGCACCTGAGTTGTCTGTGTCCTGTGGCAGGGACATCATATGGGGGGAGGCACATTCCCATCCCAGCTGTGCCAGTGGCTGGTGGACTCTGTAGGGGAGTGGTTAATGCAAACCAGCACCTGCGCCCCTCAGTCTTGGACTGTGCCTCTGCTTCTCCCAGGGGTGCTCAACCCAGGTGAGCCAGTCCCAGGGATGCTTCAAGCGTGTGGCTCATGAGCCCTGTTCTGCTGCGGAGTGTGTCCCCTATGGAGCCCTGTGGCCCTATGCCCAAGGGATGGGTGAGCACCCATAAGCAAGGGCTAGGGGTAAAGGCCTGCTGCAGGGGCAGATCCTGCTGCACTAACCCTGCTCCCAAGGCAAGGGAAAGTGGGCCTGCAGGAGCATGGATGGGGGGAACAAATAAAACCAGGAGTGTGAAGACATCAGTGGGAAAAAGAGGTCTGCCAATGCCCCCCAGGACACCGCAGGGACCCCGGCCCCCAAAACTCCAGCCTGGGGCTGCCAGTGCCTCCGTGGCCCAGGTTGCTGCAGGCTCCAGGGAGTGTCACCGCTCATTGTCCCATCCTGTCCCTCTGGGGTCTCCTTCCCTATTCCCACCCCCTCCTCCCTGGAGCCGGCTGGATTTGAGCTCCCGACACACATTAAAGGCCACAAGTTCGGCCTCGGCCTCCATAAATTTGATTCCATAAATATTAGTTTTTGCAGGGTTTAATGAAGCCGTTATGCTGGGCACGGCCCAGCACCCCGACCCGTGCCCTTAATAAGGGCTCTGTGGCCTCGATTAAAGGGACCTTTCAATCGCTGTCAAGTATTTTTAGAAAAGGAAAAGAAAAAAAAAAAGAAAGGGGGAGAGAAGACGAGGAAGGCAGCGAATGGGAGAGGAAAATCCCAAGCCCATCCAGTGCAAAAGTGGAGAAATAGCACCACCTAGACTGCCTCGCCCGGCTCCGCCGCCCGCTCGCCGGCCCCGGGCAGCCCTGTGGGGCCTTGTGCCAGCGCCGGGCCCCTGCCCCGGGCAGCCCTGGCGGCACAGCGAGGTGTCGGCGGGACGCTGCGCTCCCACTTGGGCGGTGCGCTCAGGGGTGCTGTGATGCGGAGGAAGGAGGGGCTTGGTCACGGTGGGGATGCAGGCAGGAGCAGTGAGTGGTGGCTGGGTGTCCTGAGGATGGCTGAGTGTAGAGGGAGATGCTGTACGATACAGGGATGGATGGTGCATCCCTCACACCTCCACTGGAAGGTAATTCCTCCCTGTGACTTAGCGCTGCAGCAGCAAGTGTTCCTTCCTATCAGCTCCCCAAGTAGAAACCCACCCTCACCCCTGGTTACGTGGACACTGTCACAGCCTTCAGCTGCCACCCCACAACCCCAGCTCTGGCTGCCCTGTCATGCCTGGGGCTCCTGTCCCACTTGGCCCTGTGTGCCAGTGGGTTTTGCCTGGCATTAGGAATGCTAGCTGGACTCTGCACCCAGTGACAGAACATTGTCACTACTCGCTGTGGCCACAGCCAATGCAGGATGCCAGGGCCCCTGCCTGGATAGGAGCTGCTGTCACAAACAAACCCAGCTCCCTGTCTGCACCCCTGGGCTTCCATGGGACATGCATGTTGTACCAGTGAACGTAGGGCTATGCTGCTTGCTGTCAGGCTGGAGCTGATGGGAAACGGACAGACGTATATGACATGCATACTGCGTGCTGGCAGGCTGCAGAGGCTATTTGGAGTTCTGGGTTTGGGTCGTTGGCAGCCATGGGCACTTCTCCCTAGTGATGTGCTGCACTCCCTGGACCCAGCACCATCCCAGATAAACCTGTTCCCCACTCCCCTGTGGCAGTGGTGAGCATAGTGGGAAGCTGGGCTCTCTGCTTTGGTGGGAGTATAGAGCACAGAGCACACGAGGACCCTGCAGACCTAGCCTAGGCTCTGATTTTCCTGTGCCAGTGATGCACAGAAAGCTGTTACTTCTGTAGCCCTGGGAAGCCAGGGACAGGGATTGGGAGCACTACTGTGACACGTCCCTTCTGCTCTATCTGCTGATACCCTCAGGATGCTCCACTGATCAGCTGAGGAGATGTGGAAGTGAGATGGCCTGGCGCTACTGGCCAGACCCTCCTGCTGCTCACCAGCCTTCACAGTGGCTCTGGGCACTGGGTGCCCAAAACAAGTACAGAAACCTTATGGAGTGTGGCTGCTGAGTATGAAAACCTGATAGAGACAGCTCTGGCCAACTGCACTTTGCTTGCAGCTCCTGCAAAGGAAATGGTCCACTGGAGCCACTGGGTAGCAGCATCCTAAGCTGTGGGTGCTGATAGCTCTCCTGCCTGCATCCCTCTTGCCCAGGCTGCCTGATCCTGCTGAGGTCAGCACAGCCCTGCAGCCAGAGGTGAACGCCTGGCTGGACTGTTCCTGGGCTGGGAGCGACCTGTGCCCTGTGCCCACTGAAGTGATACGAAGGGGGCATCCCTGAGAGAGTTGTGCGCACAGGGGCATCCCAAGGCACTGTCTCACCTGGGGAGGTGCTAGGGAGTGACAGGGTGCAAGCAGAGCCATGCTGGACCCCTCCCCAGCACACAGCTGGGGGAGAACCGGGGGGGGCCCTGCAAGCCCTCGCTCCTGAAATCAGGGTGTTGTATTTACTTTCCCCTTTTGGCAGCTAGAAGGGGAAGCCCATCCCAGCCCCTCATTGTTGTCTCAGCGAGTTAATCAGATGCCATAATCCTGTTGTGGAAATATCGGGCCTCCCTGGAAACAATGGGGAGCGAGAATATTGTGGTTAAATTTCAACCAGCTGCCTCCCTGCTCTGTTTGATCCCCGCCCGCAGGCCCGGGCCCCTGGTGAGCGGGCGGCGCGGCAGGGGCCGGAGCCCCGGGGTGCCACCCTGAGCCCACGCCGCCACGGGGGAGCCCCTGCGGGACTCCCCGGGGGAAGGAGGTGTGCGGTGTGCGGCGGGACCGGCGCGCCTCGGGGCGGCGGCGGAGCTGTCCCTGGGGGCAGGTGGCGGCGGGCACCCCCGGCGGGGTGGGCTGCGGGCCGCGGGGCTCGGCCGTGGGGGGGGGGAGGCTGCGGGCGGCCCGGGGCAGGTTCCGCGGGGAGGAGGCGAGAGAGGGAGGGCGCTGGGAGGCTGGGACACGGGCAGGGTGCGGTCCTGGCGGTTCCCGGTCCCGGATCTCTTCAATTTCCCCTCTCACTCCTGCTCGGGGAGCGCAGGCAGCGGCGGCTCCGGCTCCGGCTCTAGCCCCGCCACGCTGACCGCCGGGGCGCAAACCGCGGGGGGCTCCAGCAGCGCCGAGCCCCGCGCCCCGCAAGCGCCCGCTCGCCTGCCAAAACAAACGGCCCTTCGCTATTTATTGCCGCCGCCGGGCCACGGCAGCTCATAGCGGGCCGACGCCAGCCCGCCGCACCGGGCAGCCAGAGCGCACCCGCGCCGGGCAGCCGCCGCACCCCGCCGCTACCGGCACCGGCACCGGCACCTGCCCGCCGCCGGCTGCGCGCCGCATGGGGAGCCCCGGGGCGGGCGGAGGGAGCGGCGGCAGAGCCTAGCGGGGCCCCCGGAGCCGCCGGTCCCCCGGGCCGCCCCGGAGCCGCCGGGCTCGCCATGAAGCCGGCGCGGCTGCTGCTGCTGCTGAGCGGGTACGCGCTGCTGCTGGCGCCGGCCGTGCGCTGCTGCGGGCCGGGCAGGGTGGTGGGCAGCCGCCGCCGCCCGCCCCGCAAGCTCATCCCGCTCGCGTACAAGCAGTTCAGCCCCAACGTCCCCGAGAAGACGCTGGGGGCCAGCGGCCGCTACGAGGGCAAGATCGCGCGCAACTCGGAGCGCTTCAAGGAGCTGACGCCCAACTACAACCCCGACATCATCTTCAAGGACGAGGAGAACACTGGAGCCGACCGGCTCATGACCCAGGTACGGTCCCGCCGCCGCCCGCTTCGACCCCCGCGTCGGGCATCGGCGGGCACCGGGGCTACTAGGGAGCGCCCTGCGCTCCGCTCCCCTGGGGCAGCGCGGCCAGCTGCGGGGGACCCGGCGCTGCGGCTTCCCCGTCCTGCCCCGGGCATCCCGGTATCCGGCCCTGGCTGTCGGCTGTGGAGCGCGGGCATCTCCCTTCTCCGGGCGCTGCAGACCTCTGCCTCTTCGGCTGGGCTGAGCGCATCGGACCCGGAGCTGGCAGCATGCTGCTCCCGGAGCCGGCAGCACCCTGTCCCCCGAGATGGCAGCACCCTGCCCCGCTGACCCTCGGATCCTGTGGCACCTATGTCTGCTGCACCCTGAAGTGTGCCCTGGTGCCTCCGGAGTTGGCAGCACCTTGCCCGGCTGTGCTACTACCCATGTCCCCTGGTCCCCTGAGCTGGTAGCGCCCTGCCCTCCAAGCTGGCAGCAGCCTGCCCTGCTGCATCCCATGCCGTGCCACTCTGTTCCCGATCCGGTAGCACCCTGCCCCGCTGCACCCACCCTGCCCTCGCCCCCGTGCTCTGTGCGCCAGCCGGCAGAGCAGGCAGTCTGCCCGCTGCAGCCGAGGGACGGGGCAGAGCCCGGTGTGCTGGCAGGGAGGGCAGGAGGCAGAGCCGCAAGCTGGGCTCCCGGAGCGCCCTTGCTGACCTTGGACCACCGAAACGCTGTGCCATGCCTCAGTGCCCCCTCCGCCCGTGTGTCTCGGGTGGAATGGTGAGAGGTGCCCGGTTCGGGCTGCTTTCTGCTCTTGGGGACAGGGACAACTTGTTACAGCAAATGCCCTGTTGCAGTCAGTTTACAAGTGTTCTGGGCCAGTGGGAAGGAGAGGTGGGGGGGACAGAGGACAGCAGTGGAAGGGGGATGATGCTGGACGAAGGTTACTCTGTGTTTTAATACTGCCAGGAGAATGCCTGAGGGTTTCAGGAATGCAGATAAGGAGCTGCACGGCCTTGCTAAGAAACCTGGCCACCAGCCTCAGCACTGGGTTACAGCCTGAGTGAGCTCCCGGGGGAGGTGGATGGGAGCCAGGGCCACCCTACTGACCGCTGCACCCCAGGTGCAGGACTGATGGCTGGGTGAGCTGTGGTGGTGGCCACTAAGCGGGGCTCTGGCCATGGTTTCTGACCCAGGTGCTGGTAACAGTGGGAGGAGAAGCTGTTTGGGTGCTGGTTTGACAGCTCTGCAATCCCATGTGCCCCGGGGGCAGGTCCCTGTGGCAGGGGCCACACTCCGGGGTGGTTCTTATGTTAGAGACTGAAACAGAGGGACCAGGATCCCTGTGAGGCACCGCCAAGCCTGGGGAGTTGTAGAAGTCGAAGTTGCTGGTGCCTGGAGCCCTGGTGCTGGGCTGGAGTCTGCATCCCCTGGGGAACAGATTCAGGGATACTTGAGGAAATAGTGAGCTCCACTGCTCCATGCATTGGGAAAGTGGGTGACATAGTATTGCTTGAGCTGGAGGCAGGAGAGTGCTTCGGGCTGAGAGTGCTCCCACCACCTGCTCTAATGCAGCCAGTGTCTGCATCCCTGGGAGATGCATCCCTGGGAGAGGGAGGGCTCCATGCTCCACTTGCTACACTTCCTGCTGTCCCGCTGCCTTTGAAAGCTCCCTGATCTTCTTGGGGTGCCCAAATGAGGGCTCTTACCCAGCAGGGTCCCTGGCCACCGCACATCCATGCGTTGATGGATACCAAGGTGCTTTAGGCAAACCTGCAGGGAATTGTCCCCATTGCTGTGGAGGTGGCATGGCTTCTGGCAGCTTGCTGCCATCCCTCAGCTGTCTGAGCTTGTCTGTTGCCCCTGGCTGTGGGAGATGCTCCCAGACATGGGACTTCCAGTTTTGGCACCATGCCTTATGTTGCTATAGTTTGGAAAGGCCATTGACCCAACTTCTTGTCCCTTCCCCCAGCGCATTGGCTTTTACTGCTGTTGACTCACTTCAAACCTGTTTTCTTTCCCCAAGTCCAAGGGTCTGGGTGTCCCAGGCAGCCGGAAGATGCCGCCTGCTTTGGGGGGTGGGTAGTGCTGCTCTCTGCCCGCCTTCCCTTTATCGTTTCATCTTCCTCAAGAATTCCAGTGTGTTTGCTCTCGCTGGTCCCACTCGGAGGTGCTGAGATAAGGCTGGAGGCAGAGCCCGCCTCACCTCTCCCCGGCAGCTTGGCCCAGGAATGTCCTGGGTCCCCTGCCCCCATGGAGTCCCAGCCCCCCAAGCCTCTCCCTACCCCAGCCATCACCCTTTGCAGGCACTGCTAGCCCAGCTGGTGTGGAGACCACCCTTGCAGTGGTGAGGAATTTGCCATGAAGACCTTGGGATAGGACTCTTAAGCTTACTTTGGGAGAAATCTCACCTTGGGGGTGATGCTAGTGGAACCCCCCTTCTCTTGACCAGGCTCGGGACATCTGGTAGCCATAGCCAGACACGCTCTGTTCACAACCCCTCTGCTGAGGCTGTGGTTACACCTGTGTGTCCTGTGTAAATCTGCTCACATGGCCCTGGGGTCCCTGCTGATGGTGTCCTGTCTTGGAGCTCTGCCCTTCTTTCCAGACCTGCTGCGTTCCCTAAAGGGCTTTAACTTCCCCTGTAAGACATGGTCCTGTTCCCAGTATGGACACAAGAAAGTAGATGCCGATGTTGGTCAGTGGGGGACACATCTGTGATCATCCCAGCCTAACATCCCCAGGGTCTCCACCATGGTGTGCATGGGACAGCACAGAACCACACAGCTCAGTGTAGTGGCACAGAGCTGCATCCTGCACGTGGCACAGGGGTGCCACTACAGGGACAAGCTGTGTCCACTCTTACACACTGTCACCACCCGCTCTCACCCCAAACCCTGCTATATGCCTGTTGCAGGGGTGTCATCCTCTCAGCTGGGCACCAGAGCAGCACTGGGGCTGGTGAGCCACGGCCAGGGGTCAGTGCCACACCGCTGAGCTCAGACATCCCACTCCAGCCAGGGCCCGTGGGCCATGGCAGCATTTCCACATCTTTGCTGTCACACTGCAAGATCTTGTGTTCACTCCCAGGCAGGAGCAGGACCATGCCACTCAGGCAAGCATGGTCACCCTGGTCCCCAAGGATGCTCCAGGCCCTCTGGGCTCTGTCTGGGGAGGAGGTGGGCTCTCCCTGTAGCTCCCAGCAAGCACAGAGGCTGCAGACAGGCCATGACCATAGCTTTATGAGTCACTGCCTACCTGTCTGTGTAGGCAGCAGAGCCCTTGGGCAGGTAGTACCCGTCCCTATCTGTTCCCTGCCCATCTGTGCCTGCTCTCTGCTGGCTATGCCTGCTCCCTGCCCATTTTTGCCTTCTCCTTGCTAATCTCTGGCTACCCTTCCCTGTTGTCTTCTCCGTGCCTCCTGTACCTGCTCCCTACTCATCCTGCCTGCTTATCCTTACCTATCACTTCCTGCTCCCTGTTTATCACTGCTCATCCCTGCCTGCTCCCTCCTCATATCTACCCGTTCCCTTCACATCCCTGCCTGCTCCTTGTCCACTGATGCCCAGTGCCCCCGTGCCTGCTCCCCACCCGTTAGTACCTGCTCTCTCCCCGACCGTACCTGCCCGTCCCCGCCTGCTCCCTGTCCACTGATTCTTGTTCCTTCCCTGTCGCTGCCTGCTCCCTGCCGCTCCCCGCCCGTTGGTACCTGCTCCCTGTTCATCGCTCCCTGCTCATCACTCCCTGCTTCCCTCCGGTTGGTACCTGCTCCGCGCCAGTCCCTGCCCGTGCTCTGACACCTGCTGGCCACCAAAGGCACAGGCATGGCAGCCCGGGGACAGGGTGTTCGGAGCTCGGGTTTGTGCTCCCAGCCGGGCGGGCTGACCGCTGCCGGGCGCTACCTGCGGCGCGGAGGGGAAGGTGGGACCCTTGGGCTGGGGCTGCGCAGGGATCGGCACAGGCAGGAGACAAGGCAGCCCAGCGGGGTCACAGCAGCTGGTGGTGGGCAGTGTCCCTGCCATGAGGACAGCGCTTGGAGGGTCTCGGTGTTCGTGTGCAGGCAGGGTGCCCCTGGAGGACAGACGGGCTGGCAGTAAGGAGATGAGGGGTGCCCAGAGTGGGGTGCTGGCAAGGGAGCGGCAGAGGGACCCCTGAATTGATGGCAGGGGGATATAGGGGAGGCATTGGGAACTCCTTGCCTGCCTCCATCCCTGAACCCCCTTACTGCTCCTCTTTGCATTGTCCCCATGGATCCAGGGACCTTGGGAACTGCTTGTGCCAAGTGGCACCAAGTGGAGCTGGATGGGGACAAAAGTCACTCCCTTCCTTCTTTCTCCTCCCCTCACCTGGCAACTGTTTGTCCAACACCTTCCTGGCTTATCTCCCCACACCCAGGCAGCCGTGGGATGAGGGCAGAGGTGCTCCCTCGCCCCATGTGGGGCAAAGGCCTGCCTGGCACTGCCCTTCCTGGGGCCCTGACCCTGCCAAGCACAAGCAGGCTCCCCTGAGAGCAGCTGCACCCACCTCCCCAGTACTGGAGCAGTCCTTGGGGATAGGGTGAGGACTCACAGTTTTGGGGGTCAGTTCCCTGTGGAAGCAGTGCTGGGACATTTCAGAGCCTGGGGGCATAATCAGCATTGGGTTTTATAGCCGTGGTTCATGCTCGCTGTAACTGTGTCTCACCATGACATCCTGTGGCAGTGAGTTCCAGTGCTGAGTTGGGTATCACACTATCCCCCTGCAGTGGCTGGCTTTTAGGCTGCTGCCCAGTCATTTCATTAATGCTTCCCAGACTTACCTCTCGCTGTGCCATGAGTTCTCTGTCCTTTGCTCTGCTTTTATAGCATTCTCTGGGACCCCCCAGAATCTCCTTTCCAGGCTACACAGTCCTCACCCATTCACCTGGATTTGTGTTGAAGCTCCCATATTGCTTTTCCTACACCTTTTTTAGCTCTCCTTCATTCCTTTTGCAGCAGGGAAGGGACCAGAAGCATGGGCTGTATACTTTTGCAAGCCCAGGGTGGAGGGGCTTGGTTCCTCCCTGAGATGGAGCTGTGGCTGGGGGAAGCGGGCAGTGCAGGGTGGCTGCAGCACATGCATTTGGGGCTGGTATCCCTCTGCTTGCTGGGGAGGACTGCGACAGGCCTGTTGCCTTGCTTGGGTGAGCTCTGTGGCCACCAGGTGTGGGGCTTTTGGGATCTGCTGCAGTTCCTTAGCGCTGGCTTTTCAGCCCTTGGGGTGTGGAGAGGTGGATAGGGCTTCACCTCCCATCCTTTCTGCACCAGCACAGCAGAGCTCTTGGTCAGGTTTGGCATTTCCCATATAAGCAGTGGCTAGATGAAAGTATGAGGCTGCCCAGTGCTGTGTACTTGTGCCTCAGGACTTGAGGAGGACCATCCAGAGCAGTACTGAGGACTGGGCAGGTTGTTTCATTTGTGCCTGGGGATAGTGCTGGGGACCCTGGGGGATCCTGAGTCCTCCTTCTGTTACCTGGGAGCCCCTGAGGCAATGCTAGCACAGGGCAGGTGTCTGCAAGCAGAGGGTGTTTCACACCAGCCCAGACTGTGCTGCCCAAAAGGCTTTCCAGCATCCCAGGAACTGGGGGAGAGATGGAGGAGGAGATGGTTGCCCTGTTGGGGTGCACACCCTTGGGAGATGCTGGATCTCTGCAGGGAGTCTGGAGGGCATGGGATGGAAACGGCAGCTCATTCTCAGGTCTTCCTCTCCTAGAGCAGCCCCTGAAGGGCCTGAGGACCCAGAGAGGCTTCTTGGAAGCATGGTGGGATGCAACCTGCCAACCATGCAGCTAACCCCTGCACTCCCAAAAGCTGTTACTTACTCTGCCCCTTTGCCCTTCAGCGCTGCAAGGACCGCTTGAACTCCCTGGCCATCTCTGTCATGAATCAGTGGCCAGGGGTGAAGCTGCGCGTGACGGAGGGCTGGGACGAAGACGGGCACCACTCAGAGGAGTCGCTGCATTACGAGGGCCGAGCCGTCGACATCACGACCTCAGACCGGGATCGTAACAAGTATGGCATGCTGGCTCGCCTGGCCGTGGAGGCTGGCTTCGACTGGGTCTACTACGAGTCCAAGGCACACATCCACTGCTCCGTCAAGTCAGGTAAGGCTGGGGGGGACAGTGAGCAGGGCCAGGGGCCGGTCCCACTGTTGCAGCTGGCTGTGTGTGATGCTCCTAGGGGGCACTGGCTCTCGCAGCGTGATTTCCCTATCTGGGGCAGATAGTCGGCTGGGGAGTGAGTCACACGTCTGTGACCAGCAGTGCCATGGGGGAAACTCTCTGTCTCACTCCCATGTACCTGCACCCTGACCCACCCTGTCTACCTCTCTGTTTTCCACCCCACATCCCCTTCTCCCATAGCCTGTCCCCCATCACATCTGTCTCCCCTGCCTTTGCCCTTGCAGTCCCTTAGTGCCCAGCTGCCCATGCCCAGCTACATCCAGCCTTGCCCTCCTCCACCGCTGGCATCTCTTGGGCTTCTGCTGTCAGAGCAGCATCCATCCGTCCCTGACACCCAGGCAGGAACAGGCCAGGGTACTCTGGGAACAGCTTCTCTGCTGTGCAGAGGAAGGGGGCAGAGCTGGGGGTGCTGAGGGCAGAGGCAGCTGGACTGGAGTGAGAGTGCTGATGCTGTTTGCTCCACGCCGTGAACGGGGGGGGGCTGCTCGCCGGCCCTGCCCGTGGCCGGGAATTAATGCGTGGGGTGCACGGTCCCCCGTAGCCTGGGGGGAAGCTGCTGCCCGGGCCAGGGATGCTGCAGGTCCCGGCGGAGCGGCCGCGCTGGCGGCAGAGGGCAGCAGTGGTCCATCACCGCGCCCTGCGCGCCGAGCCGAGCCGAGGAGCGCTTCCCCGCAGCCAGGAGGGGGCCGAGCTGCTGTCCCGACACCGGCGTGCCCGTGTCGCGACACGCTGGGCACACGGAGCACTTGCACAGGCAGGGGGCTGTGTCTGCACACACATGCCCACAGCTCTGCCCGCGCCCCCATGTGCCGCGGTGGGACCGGGCTGCTGCGCCGGTGTCGCCCCGCGTCTCTTGCCGCCGGGCTCGGCTCCCACCGCAGTACTGTGCCTGTCCTGCTGCCCTAGCCCACGGCCAGCGGCTGCAGCCCCCCAGACGCCAGCCGGCCCCCCCGCGCTGACCCGCTCCCCCGTGCCCGGTGCCAGGACAGGCGCAAGGCTGGCCGGCGATGGAGGTGGGGCGATCACACCGCAGAGAGGGAACATCGCGCCCCCGAAGAAGAGGGACGAAGCGGGAGAGAAGGACCAGGGCTTCTGTGACGCAGGGCACCCTGTGGGGCTGGCCGGAGGAGAGGGGCCAGGCTTCGAAGCAAGGACCATGACCCCAGAGCCTTGGGGCTGGCCAGAGGAGTGGGGCTGTGCCCCTGAAGAAGGACGGAGGCTCTTGAATGCTGGGACCAACCGAAGAGGGATGCTGTGACCCAGGCAGCAGACTGGGGCCCTGAGGCCCTGGAGGGCTTCTAAAGGCTGGCCACAGCCCCCTCACTGCACAGTGACTTCTTGGGGCTCTGCATCTACCGTATTTATCCCCGAGGCCATGGGGAGCCCAGGAGTGTGTGTTGGAGGCTGTGCGGTGCATATCACAACCACCCCCAGAGCTGTGTACAGGGGGCAGCTGGGCTGCCCCTGCCTCTTAGTAAATGGCTTTTATTTTTGTACGGATGGCTGCGTGGCCTGTTATATGTATTGTGTCTCCTCGGGTCCCTTCCTGCACCCCCCCATGCCCAGCACCTGTGCACCCCGCTTCTGCCAGGTGCCCCTCTTGCCCTCCTGCCAGCCCCTCCCCACAGCTCTGCTGCCTGCCTGGGGATGCGGGGTGTAGGATTTGGGACCTGGCCTCCAGGGCAGGCACGGGGCAGACCCTGCACCTCATCTGAGCAATAAAAGGATTCTGTCCCAGAGATGGATGCCTCTCTTCATGGGCCTGGGGGCTGGGATTTGGCTCTGTGCAGAGCTGGGGAGTGATGGAGGGCTGTGCCATCTGGGTGGGGACGCTCCGGGATTAGATGAAGGAGGTGGGAGAGGGATCTGAAGGGGAGAGGCTGGGAGCTAGAAGGTGGGACTGTGGAGGGCCAGGAGCAGGACCCTGGGTGAGATGACCCTAGCAGATGGTGGGAGGACATCATATAGATGCTGAGATAGGGGTTGCTGGAGCTTGAAAGAGCAGGGCTGCTGTGGGAGATGAGTGCTGTTCCTTGGGAAGCCAGGGTTCCCCTGCTAAGTGCCAGGATGGTACCCTGGTGATGCTTAGTGTCTTACTGCATCTTTTCATCTGAGGAGGGTTAGGAATGCTGTGCCACCATCCCAGGGGACAAGTCCAGAGAGTTTGGGTGCTTTACCCTGTCACAGCTGCTAGCAAAGCTGGGCCCAGAAAGCTGGTGGCTTTTTCCTGATGATGGCCACAGGCTGTGACATCTCCCTGCAGCTCAAAGAGGGGGTTGGCTGGTGTGTGTGGTGCAGGGGTGAGCAGGCAGAACGGAGCAGGGCTACGGAGCAGGGTGGATGGATGCCATGGTGCTGGGGGATGGTGCTGCACCCTGCCCACCCTTCATTGTAGCATCCTCCCCAGCAGTACCCAGGCCCAGCACCGCAGGGGATGGGGGTGATGTGAGCATACAGAGCACTCTCCTCCTCAGCCTGACATTGACTCAGGGGTCTGCCTCCCTGCTTTTGAGCTTTGGGTGCCCCTGACACTGCCTTGTGTGTCTGGGGCTATGGCTGTGCCCTGCTCCCCTTGCCAAGCAGGTTTCAGGACCTGGGTCTGCCGAGCAGTGCACTGGCACCATAGCGTGAAGCAGATGCTGCCGTGTGTGGCTTGAGCCCTCAATTGGCACCCCCAGTGAAACAGACACCCAGAGAGCCTGGTTTAATGGCTTGGGGGTGTGTAAGGGACGCGTGATTGTTGGTGATGCCACGGAAGGGTTATCCCCAGGCGGGCAGAGCCAGGCAGCCTGAGAGGGTGGCTGTGTGTCGTGGAGGGGTGATGCTGGGGTTCTGTCAGACAGGTAACCCTCCTGTCCTCTCTTTTCCTTGTGCAGAGCACTCGGCCGCTGCGAAGACAGGCGGCTGCTTCCCTGGGCGGGCACTGGCAACGCTGGAGGATGGTGTGCGGACACCGCTGTGGGCCCTGCGCCCGGGCCAGCGGGTGCTGGCAATGGACGAGGCAGGCAGGCCCACCTACAGCGACTTCCTGGCTTTCCTGGACAAGCAGCCCCGTGCCCTCACCTCCTTCCACGTCATCGAGACGCGGGAGCCGCCGCGACGCCTGGTGCTGACGCCCACCCACCTGCTCTTTGTGGCTCACAACTCCTCGGCGCCCGCCGCCCGCTTCCACCCCACATTTGCCAGCCAAGTGCGCCCCGGACACTTTGTGCTGGTGGCGGCCGGGGGCGGTGGCCTGCAGCCCGCCGAGGTGGTGGCGGTGCGGGACCGCAGGGATGTGGGGGCCTATGCCCCGCTGACGCGCCACGGGACGCTGGTGGTGGACGGTGTGGTGGCCTCCTGTTTCGCCCTGGTGCAGGAGCAACATCTGGCACAGCTGGCCTTCTGGCCGCTTCGGCTCTACCACAGCCTGGTGGGGTGGCCAGGGGTACAGGGGGACGGCGTGCACTGGTACTCGGGGCTGCTCTACCGCCTGGGAAGGCTGCTCCTGCCTCCCGACAGCTTCCACCCGCTGGAGGTACCCCCGATGGAGAGCTGAGGGTGCGCCCCGGCCAGTGCTGCTGGTGGAGGTGGTGACTGCAGGGCAGCGCACCGGGGGCCAGCACCCCCTCCCAAAGCTGGGTGCCCATGTAGAGCTGCCTCCAGCACTGCCTGCTTGGGACACAGCCACCTCCCAGTTGGGGAGCACTGGGGCTGCCTGGTGTGCCTCCTCCATGCCCACCACTCCCTCCTCACCCCCTGTTCCTTGGTGCAGAGGGAAGGCACAAAGGGTTCCCCTCAAACATGGGGTTACCCCCGGCTGGATCCACATGCTGCTATTTGTGTGTGTGTGCGTGATGTACGTGTGCGTGTGCAGAACTGGCTAAGGACAGAGGTCTGGTAGGCCAGGGGGAGAGGGAAGAGGAGACAGGCCTTGGCTGCAGGCTGCTCCCGCAGGGCTCCCTGCCTGCCTGCACACAGTGGAGAGGCTTTGGGAGAAGGGCCCCAGGGCCCTTTGCTGGGCAGCCCAGGAGGGAGGGCAGGTGATGCCATTCCCACCCCTCGGACATGGAAGCTGGGAAGAGGGTGATTTAGGTACTGGGACTGTGCCTTGCCCTTAGGCCCTGACTATGGGTGTAAGGGGGCACCCAAACCCAGTCCTTATGTGCCTGGGATGCCCAAGCATTGGAAGGGCAGGCATGAAACTCCAGAGTTGGTGACACAAATGCTGCTGGAGCAAGGGACTCTGTAGTGGGACCCAAGCTCTGCTCAAAGCCAGTATTGTACCCACCTGGCCAGACATACCCATGGGCATGCTGTGACCTCATGGGGGGGCTCTAGCTGGCAAGAGGGGGCTGCAGAGGCACGGGTGTGGGCAGGAAGGTGCAGGTGTCAGCCAGGCATGGGCACACACTGATAGGGAGAGCTGGGGCTGCAGCCCGATGTGGGGAAGGAAAGCATCGTGGGAGAAAAGTGCTCCCCCCTTTGCCTTCATGCATCCTGCCCTGAGCTGTCTGAACCCACAGATGTGCCTTTCCCACCCCAAAGCTAAACCATTCCTCAAGCTCCAGACCCTGCCTGGCCCATCCTCCCTGACCCCCCCAGCACCCCAAACCCTCAGGGTAACTCATTGCTGCTCACCCACTCCCGGGACCTGGGGGGAATTCTGTCAGAGCTGCAGCCACGCTTCCCCTTTCAAACTCCTGTCCAGAGTCTCAGCCTCCCCTGGCTCCACATTGGCAGGGGTGAGGAGGTCCCGTGTACCCCCTGTAGCATCACGCGTCTTTATTTATTGACCTGCTCTTTGTATGTGCCATGGATGGGGCAGCGTGGGCATGTGCAGGTGAGATGGGGGGGGGGGGGGGGGTGAAGCTGTTGGTTGGGGGATGATTTTCTTTTTTTAACAAAAGCAGAAATTATTTAAAGATTATTTTAAAGCACAGTTTTTATGGTGATAGATGTCCAGGGCAAAGTGAGAGTGTGAGCATGGCCGACTGCAGGTGTGGTTTTTGTCTCTTCACTGTATGTAACTTTCCTCATCGGGGACACGGCCAAATAAATCCATCATCTCCCAGGCAGGCGCTCCGAGCTCTGGTGTGGGGAGTGAGGCAGGGATGGGAAGTGCTCACTGCCCATCCTAAGCAGGGCAGGCAGGGCTAGAGGGCCTCTTGTGCTTTTCCAAGAGCAAGATTTGGCTGCTCAATGCCTCCAACAGCAAGGGTGAGCTCTCTCTCCCAACCCCCCTGTACCCAGGTGAGGTGGGCAGCCAGAGGCCTACATGGGACAAAGCTGTCACTGGAGCCACCTGGAAACTAAGGCAAGTGGGGCAGGATGTGGGAGGGACAGCCACTGTGGGACTGGCAGGGGCACCTCTGCATCCCAGTCTGGGCCCATCACCCATGTGCCTGGCCACACTGGGACAGCCTTCCCCACCATCTCCATCCCTACAACACCCGCTAGCCCAGTGCTTCTGGAGAAGGTGGGCCCCTACCCTGTACACTGGGTTTTCAGTGCTCATCATTGCTGGCTTTCTTCCCTTGCCAGCCCTGTCCCCCTCCACCCCACCTCCACACCAGCAGAAGGGAAGACCACCTGCCCTACCCAAACACCCCTCTGTGCACCCCTTGCCCCATCTCCAAGCTGCCCTGCCCTGGTCTGTCCCTTGGGACCACAGCCCCTCCAGGGCTTTCCCTGGACCCCATGGCATGGTAAGTGTGGAGCAATTCAGCAGCAGGCTGTCAGCAAGGGCCCTCATCACCACGGCTAATTTAAGGGCTCTGTGAGGTGACTGAGCTAATTTAATTAGGTTCTTATTACAGAGAAGGACAAATTGGTCCCCTGGGGGGGCACAGGGTCAGGCTTTTGAGAGGCACTTTATGGAGTGAAATTTCAATCAGGCTGCCGTCGCAGGCACAGGGAGCTGCAGGCAGGGAATGCACCGGGAGTGAATGTGCCCTTTGAGGTACCCTGTGGTGCTGTGGGCAGCCCATCTCCAGGCCCAGGTTTTTAGGTATCAGTGAGTATGTGGTACAACTTGTTGCCCCATTAGGAGGGTGATGCAGAGTATTGGGGGACTGCTTTTGGGTGGAAGCAGGGAAAGCCAGGGGTCTTGGCTCTGTTCCCTGGCTGTTCCCAGGGCAGCGAGAGGAAGGGGGAGCACTCATAAAGAAGACTTTTGGGTCTTTCTGAAGCCATAGTAACTCCCCTCCTAGACCTATAAATCCCCATGGTAATAATGGTGAGGACAAAATCATGTGCAGCTGACAGACAGGACTTAATGACGGGGGTCTTTCTTACCTTGATGTCCCCATCTTGTCACTCAGTCCCAGGAGAACCAAGGCAGCCTGGGGGTTGCACCTCTGCTCATGGGCACCTGAAGCAGCCCCATCTCCCAGGGTGCCAGTCCTGAGTGGAGGGGTCCCACCAGAGTTCCGGCTGGGTGATGATGGATGGGGATGCTGGTGGGTGGCCGGCAGACGGGCCGGGCTGGAGGGTACCACAATGGATGTCTCTCCATCAATTTGTCCTCATTACCATGTCAATGGTGGGCGGGAGGGAGAGGAAGGGCATGTGGTACAGGAGAAACCCCCCACATGCTCCCATCTGGGGTAGCGTGTCCTCCCCGCCATCCCTCCAGCCCTGTCTGAGCTTGTTAAGCCAGCGCCAGCACACCCCCTGCCCAAATTCAGGGGCGGAGAAGTACCACCCCCTATTCAGAGCCTTGAAAAGGCTACAGGGTCTGGCGCTGTTAACAAGGGGGGATATTTGTTCCCGTCCCCGCCTTTCCCGTCTGTCCCTCGCACCGTGGCCTTCTGCCGTAGCAGCGCCCAACAGCCCCGCTGGCAATGGAGGCGGGGGGGGGGGGGAGCACCCCGAAAGCATCTCCTCTTCATGGGGAGCTGCACCTCATCTCGGCGTGGGCAGGAAGCAACGGCAGGGAGGGAGGGCATCCTGCGGGACTGCAAGGTTAAAGGTTCCCCGCGGGGCAGGGAATATCCCCGGGCAAGGAGGAGGTTTGTGCCCATCACCCGGGCTCTCTGGGTCTAACCAGATCCCCATGGCCTGGGGCGTGACGGTGATGGGGGTACACCCCGAAATATCTGGGCCTGCATGCAACAGCAGGTTGTGGGAATCCTCCTGCCGGAGAAGGCAGACAGACCCATAGCTGCCCCCCAAAAAAGCCCAGAGGAAGGAAGCTGCATAGCCCGGCGCGGCCCCTCACGCTGCCAGCCGGCGGGTGCCCGCAGAGGGAGCCCGTATCCGCTTCCCACTCTCATTAGCTTAATTTAACTTAATGGCTTTTCGGAGTGCTGCTGCTCCGGGAGCAGGAGCCCACAGGAGCCCCGGGAGCGTGCGTGGTGCATGGTATTGACTGCGGGTCCCATCCTGCGCCCCAAATGCCTCCACCACCTCCCCCTGGCCTGAGCCCCCACCTCCTGCCCCTCTCTCAGTCACGGCACCAATGTGGGGACAGCTCCCTCCACTTGCAGGAGCTGCCTGCCCTTGGCAGCTTCGCTCGGGGGGGGCTGGAGGGGCTTCAGGGACTCACATCACAGCCCTCTGCCTGTACAGATGCAGACAGACGGGCATCCATCCCTTACACATAACTCTATTCCCTCGACAGACACATGCCCATCACCTCATCGGTCATGCTTGAACACCCCGCAGCTCTCAGCATTGCCATCCAATCCCACAAACTACTCTCTTTCCAGCCAGGATACGTTATACCCCAGGCAGCCTCTAGAGCACCCAGGTGTCCCTGTGTCCCTGATCTCTGTCCCTTCCTGGCAGAGGCTGGGTTCATGTGCACGGCCCATGGTGGCAGCATGGGCACTGTGAGAACCATGGGACACGGGCACCGGGGCCAGTGCCCACCTCTGCAGCCATGCCTGCCCCATGTCTCCAGGGCAGACAGCACTCTGGACCCACAGAGGGATCTGACACCATTTCTCCTCACCCAGGGTGAGCCCTGCAAACCCTCCCACTCCAGCACTGTCTAGCTCCCTCTCCCACGGTGTGGGGTATAGAGCTAATACACTGAAGCCCACTTTTCCCTTCCCATATCCCCTCCCCAGCTGCAGGATAGGCAGAGCAGAGTTGATGCTGGTGCTCCCCCACACTCTGTATGAGGGAGAGGTGGCTGGGGACCATGCAGGGAGGTCTGGAAGCAGGCAGCAGGCAGCAGCCATTACCTCGTACATTGTCCCAGTATAAGACAGGATCTCCCACCACCACGGTAACAGCCAGCAGGATATGATCCCAAGGGAACCCAGCAGCAGCTGGCCCTGACTTCCACCGGTGGCTCTGAGGTGCCCACGATGTCGGGATGGGGGTGTGTGAGTATGTGACCATGTGCAGGGGACAAGTAAGAATCTAATCAGGGTCCTTTTCCTCAATAAATCATTTGTCTCAATCCAACGCCCTCCTTCCTGCTCTAATAACTCCCGGCCTGGGCCCCACAGCCACAACAATGCGGCTAATGGAACGATTTATTTTCATAATGGTGCTGGTGGGGAGAAGGGGCGGCCGGGGCGGGGGCAGCACGCTCTGGGGCAGGAGTTTCTAATTAGTGAATGAAATTTTATGTAAGGCTGGAGGAAGATGGATTCGCTGCCTGACAAGAGGCCTTTCAGCTCATCAAAGTGCCCAAACAGGGAGGTAAATTAAATTATCTCTAATTCCTCACTAACCTCCAGGGAGTCACCCTTCCACCAGCGAAAGGTGGGTCCCTTCCTGAAATGAAGAGGCGCTTGAAGGACTGAGTGGAAGGGACCAGGCTCTGTTGAAGGGATGGGGATGACAAGATGGGATGGGGTGGGACAGCGGAGCAGAACAGGCTGCCACTGACTTTGCTGAAAAATGGAGAAGGAAAAAGGTGATGATGAAGGGTGGAGTTGCAAATGGTCAATAAATAAACAACTCCAGGGACTAATGAGGATTCACAGCAAGTTTTCCATCCGTGTTTGTCACTTAACCAGTCAGGGACCAGGGCTGAAACCCAGCTAGCACTGGGGTGGAGCAGAGCAGCCTGGCAGCAAGAAAAGGCATCCCAGCCCTCAAGGGGTTTGAGCAGGGACAGCACTTGGCTTTGAAGGGATGACTGATGCTGCAGCAGGCAAAGGGTTTAGTGCAGGAGAATGCTTCAGCAAAGACTCTTGTTCTCCTGGCTGTACGTGATTTGGGGCCAATGCCAGTGATGTCAATGCTTGTGGTTCGAAAGCTGTTCTTGGGATACACAGTGTTGTTTTTTCCTAAATCCCCAGATCCTGGAATGTCTCCTGTGATGGAGACTCAATTTTCACAGAGAATAAGGTCACTCCCTCCTAGCACTCCTGCTTGCTAGACAGACCTTGCAGTGCCAACCTGCCACCACCCCAGATGTCCTAGTGCAAGGAAAAAAGCTTGGTACTGCGGCTGAAACCAGCCCCTGGCTCTCTCTGGGGCAGGCAGCACTACAAAATGCCCTGAAAGCACTGAAGCTCCCCTCCTGCAGGGCCAAGGAAACCCATTCAGGAGCAGCAGGCAGGTTCCCAGGTTACCTTTCCATGCAAAATCACGGTCTGCATTTCCTGCAAGATCTCCTGCCCTCCTGATCACCGCACTGCCGAGTGGCCGCCCTCACAGTACAGCCTAGGGAAGGAAATAGGGGTGCTGTGGAGGCACGGGGGACAGCCGGGGCCCTGCAGCAGTGCCAGGGGCGTGCTGCAGGCTGGGGAGCACAGTGCCCTCCCCACAGCTGGGCTAT